TTTCCTTTAAGCTCTAGTTTCTCTTCAGGTGTAGATCCTTTAAGCTTTCAAAGCATGTATTTCGTGACTCTTCTTGTGGAAATTTTTCTGTTCTTTATCGTTTATCTTCCCCCCTCCTTTTTCATGTTCATCAAGAATCTGTCCTCTTGTTCTGTGAGTTAGAATCTGCTGTGGTTGGCCATTTGTTGCTGATTTCTTTTGTTGAATGTTCAGTGCACATTTTATCATATTTAGATGGATTGTGTTTGTTTTTTTGATAAAAATGATGCTTTGTTGTTCACGGCAGCAATAGCAGAAATTTTCTAGAATTGCATGGTCCCATTCTAAGTCTTTTGGTTCTGTTTAGATGTTGATTTTTGAGCTGTTGTGTATTAAATACTAGAATAAAAAAAAAAAAGAAAACCTGCTGTGTTAGAAGTTTTGACATTAGGAGTATGCAAATGCAAGCACTCAGTCCCCTTTTTGCTTGCGAAGCCGAGAAGAAAATGTATAAGGGGGAAAGTTCTGAGCTTTAATCTTTTGTTTCCTGTGATATTTCCCCTGTTGAATTGTGATTTCTTGTTGGTTTCTAGTCGATAAGTGCATGAATCTGTTGGAGTTTACCTGAATATGCGTGATTGACCAGCTGCATAATTTGGCTTGGACTTCATTTCCTTTCGGTTTATACTGGGGTAGAGCCAATCTAGGAGATATGTTGTAGAAAGAATGGTGGCTGGAATTCGCAGAATGTATGAGGTTCTTCGTGTCTTTTTGCATGAGTTTCCTTCTATGTTTTGCTTGTTTGGATGTCAAATTTGTATTGTGTGATTATTTAGTTTAAAGTTTGGATGTTGGATGTTAGATCTGAATTCGTTGCTTGAAGTTGGAACAAAAGTGCAGTAGTCCGTTTGTTTTGATTGCAGAAGCATAGTTTCAATTGCAGAAATACGAACAAAGAAAGCTTTCGTTTGCATGCATGGATTTTCTTTTAAGAATTGCACTTTAACCCCTCAAGCCCCCTTAATGCTACTAGGACCCAATCAATTGGATAATTTCATCAATTTGGTCCTTGGCAGCTTTAATTTTTGCAACTTCATTGCTTGTTTGCTTCAATTAGCCACCATGCTTTATTTAAATTGCACTTAATTCACAATGTTAAGGGTTTTATGACCAAGTGAGCTTGTGTTTGCATATTTTCTTTAATTTTCTTAGTTAAAATGATGCCTTGACATTTTCTTTGTTTTTGGAGGGTAAATAAGTAATTTCGCTTCATTAGGGTACCCACTCAAGGGAGGTACACTCTATCCCCTATTTTGATTTTACTTAATTCTATGTGCCCTTATGTGACTTTATGTGCTTAATTGCATGCCTTTTGAATGTTTTATTTTATTTTATTTATTTGCTGCAATTTTGTATATTTATTTAAGTTTAATTTGTAATTATTTGGGAAGGCAATTAGATGCCACAATTGTAATAGTTAGGTATTTCTTTTAATTATTTTTGTTATTTCCCCTTTTAGATTGTAGTAAGCCCCCCTCAAATGTAATAGTTAGGGTTTTATTTGCTTTCTCTTTTGCTTGTGTGATTTGCATGCTTACGTGCTATGTGTTACCGCTTTCTTAGAACCTTGCATCTAGATATCATGATTATGTATTATGTGTTTATGTGATATTATGTGTTTACTTGCTTTTTTATGCTTTATATTATTGGCTTAGTTATAATTAGTGTATGACGTAATATCACACTTGTCCAACGTTAGTTGTGATCCATTTTTCGATGCCACACTAGTCCAACACTAGTTGTGTTTCCCTTGTTCGATTTTTCACTAGTCCAATGCTAGACCCTTAGGAGCCCTTTGAGCGTTAGATCGTGATTGTGTGATAAAATCACTTCATTTCATGCATATTTTTCACTTTGTAGGGTCTTTTATCATTTTTTGCATGTTGCCCTTATATACACATCCCTTATCCCACATGCCCCCTTATATATATATCCCTATCCCATATTCCCTCTTATATCCATGTCCCCTGTTTTATATAATCCTATGCATGAGACATGACATTAGATTGCATTTCATTTAGGAAATTAGAATGAGGGTAGTACATTTGCTTGATTAGATTAGGAAAAACCCATTGGATATGGGATATGGACGAGTTTGGCTTTCTAGTTTTAGCACGCTCGTATTCCCTCTATTAAAGGGAAAATTGAGTCACGAACATTAGTCTCCCGTACCTGACATGATGCATTTCTCTAGGTCACGTATATTTGTATAATTATTTTTATTTTTCTTTCCTTTTTTTAGAGTCTCATATTTTTGCATTATTCGTGACCTCTCCAAAGAGTCCGCATTGGGCATCACAATTAATGTGATTGGCACCAATTGAGTTTTGAAGAGAAATTTCGACCCCCCGATACCCTCTTAGGTCTAGGGTTTGCATTCATATAGTACATCCAAATGTGATAAATCTTAAGTGTAAAATAAGAAAATTTTTGACTAAATCACGCAACTAGCCTTGGTTAGGTTGAAAAGGTGCCTCGTATTTTTTTTATCCTTGCTTTCCCTTTCTTTAAATATGACTCCCAAACACCTTCTCTGCTTTTTGTAGACTTAGGAATCATTTAAAAAGGATTTTTCATAATTTTATCTAAAAAGTTCATTTTAGGTGACTTGGTACACTTTAACTCAATACCAAGTGGCGACTCCGATTTTTATTCAAAAAACCCTTTTTAAACTATAATTTGGGACAAAATCGTCGCACTTTTAAACCCTATTTAGGCCCTTTGCATTTTCTTTATTTATTTTCTTTAAAATCAAATATTCATTTTTTCAATCAAAGATAAACCAAAATTCATTTTTAAAACACTTTAATTTTTATTTTTCAAAAATGGGGCGCGACAGTTTGGCGACTCCACTGGGGATTTAGAGAGTCCGAGCATATTGATTTAGTCAATTCTTTTCTTCTTTTAAACCTTTTTATATATCACATTTGGAGGTTTAGGGTTGCATTTTTCCTTTATTAGGGTTTTTTGCATCTACCACGCCAGTATTAGGGTTTTTTGCATCTACCACGCACGTAATCACTCCTCGCACGCTATGTATGTAATGAATGGATGGTTTATCTATTTGCTTTTACTTGTATCGCGCTTGCATCTTGGGGGGGGGAATTTCCCTAGAACCGTCGACTGCATTTTGATGGTATTATGATCCCTCCTCTCAAAAGAGAAGCACTTCATACGTGCATGCATAATTTTTTATCTTATTTTTCTTTGTCGTGGGCGCCATCCCACATCTCCCTGTAGGATTAGGATCGATTTCCTTAGGTATGCGGATGGTATGCACTGCGCCCATAGCGATGCCTAAGGGATCACTCGAGCCATCGACCGAAGGCCTTGGGATTGATGACCCTTCGCCTTTAAGTCTGAAGGCTTGGGAACCTTGAGACTTATCGAGTCTAGATGCATTAGTGAGCCAAATCTCATGCATCCATATTAGAATTGCCTAGGATAGAGTCGATCTTATCCTGAATTAGGGACACTAGGCACGAGGGGAGGGATTCCAACCCTCTTTCCTTATTTTGCTTTCTATATTTTATTATTTGTTTGTCACAACGTGTTATGTGTTATTTATTGAACTAACTTTCCTTGTATCTTGTCTTTTGCATTCACAACCGTTAGGAGATAAGAGGTCTGGCATGATCCTCTTTTAGGACCTACCCTTATAGATAGGCTATTGCACGTTTAGAAATTTTGATATATTTCATTCGTAAATTAATAATAGCATATCATTTTAGGCCTACTCTGGCATATAAAGGGTTCCTTATGTCACGTTTTCATTTCAAATTGCATATTTTATCGCTTTAATTAATTGGCATCATGCATAAACCGTAGAAGGGAATGCCACATAGGGAATCCCGTATTAGGAATAAGCCACCTTTTGTCTCGGATACTTAATCCAAGGGGACTTGCACGTTTACATTCTTATAACATTCGGAGGGGTAGTGCACAAGATAAGGTAGGATCTGATCATTTTCATAGAGCAATCTTTGAAATATGAGCATCTAACAATCACCTTTTGGCCATTTTTAACATAGTTGATAAAAATCTCTTGTTCAAAGTACATTAAGTTGAAAAGTTTATAAATAATTCCTCACTATTAAGACGATAAATATATTGAGGTCAAATCTTGATTTTAGGAGGCTCATAGACTAATGCATCGCAATGATTTTTTGAAACTACCAATGGATAGACAATTCAATCAATTTTTGAATAAACCATCAATTTCATTGGACCATTTTATTCATCAATTTCATCCAATCTATTTTATCAATTCATTCAATTTTAGGACAATCTAATTATTTTTGAATAAATCATTAATTCCATTGGACTAATCCACCTATTTTTAGGGTGATCCAGTCAATTTTGAATAAATTATCAAGTTTCATTCAATTCAATTTGACAAGTTTACCCTTTTAAAGGTAATCTAGTCAATTTTGAATAAATCATCAATTTCATCATATCCTCTTGACCCGCTTATTCCCTTTTAGGGTTTAAGTCTAAAGTTCACTGAATAAATTAGTCGAGGCATTGCAATCCTTTCAAGAGCAGGCTCTTTTGCACATCATGCGTCAATCAAAGCAAGCAATCCATTCGGATTTTGTCCTCGTTTTTTGGGCAAATGTTTCTTCTCACTCCAATTGGCCATATTTTTCAAATTATTTTTCACTCAATAAGTTGGTCGAATTCATCAGGTATTGTATGTGCCTATCGTAGAGGATTGCATTCTCATGTTAGGCCTACCCTTAGCACAAAAAGGGTCCACCAATAAGACATGCATCCGAATTACCTCAATATATACTAATTCGTGTCTTTTTCTTTTTCTTTCTTTTCTTTTTGGCAGCAGTTAATCAAAAAGGAATCTAAAAAGGGTTTTTCTAAATTTTCATATAAGTGCAAACATAGCTACCCAAAGAAGCCCCATTATCATCCGATCATGTAGCCGAGCTTTACAAGATAGTGTAAACATGAGTACCCATCCAGAATCATCTGACAGGCCCGCAACCACGTCACCGACTGACTTGGCGAATTTGGGAGCTCAGCTGAGTGAAGTTCTAAATAGATTTAATGAGCTAAGCATCAAAATGATAGCACAACGGCGCGTGATCAATCAATTGGTCGCTGGTGGTGCTAGCAGTGAACAACATGAACCCTTACCCCCTGGCCAATCTGAACCTGAACCAATACTCTTACCTTATACTCAAGCTCCTGTTACTTCACATGTCATAAATTCACCTGAAGAAGCCTTTACCTATCCCACTCATGGCCCACTACCTACTTATGCAACTAACGTCCAAATTAACCCTCCTCATGCCCAAATTTCCCGAAACTATCCACCCATCACTATGAGCATGCCATTCGAACCTCGGGGACCGCATTATTACTCCACTGCTGAGCCATTCACCTTAGATACTGTCGCCCAAGGGAAAGCTGAAGTTGGGGAGTTAGCCGCACCGGTGGATAAAAATTTGCTAAAGAGATTGGATTGGTTTGAGGAGTTCATAAGGAAAAGTCAAGGTTTGAACAAGCAGGGAGGTCTGGACTACGACGAGCTGTGCCTATTTCCAAATATGCAATTTTCGGTGGGTTTTAAAGCACCCAAATTTACCAAGTACGACGGAACTGGCAATCCCAAGACCTACCTTCGGATGTTTGCAAACAAATTAGGGAAACCAATAGATGATGAAAACCTACCTGTGCATTTATTTTCCGAGAGTCTAGAAGGCGACGCGTTGGATTGGTATTCAAATTTGAAACCTGAGGATATGAGATCTTGGATGGATTTGTCAATCGCTTTTGTGAGGCAGTATGAATACAATTGCGAGTTTGCTCCAACAAGGACCACATTGGAGGGGACTAAGAGGAAACCATCGGAGGACCACAAGACGTATGCGAAGAGATGGAGGAAATTGGCTGCCAAGGTGGAGCCTCCCATGACTGAAGATGAGATTGTTCGTACATTCATCAAATCTCATGACCCGCCCTATTTCGAGGAAATTTTTCGAATGACTAGGTGTTCCTTTGCCGAGATTGTCAATAAATTGGAAGAATATGATGAGTTTATGAGGCCAGGAAAGATTGTTAACGTGTCGGCTCTAAAATCGCAATTGGAAGCGATGCAAAGTCAAGGCAGCAATAGCAAGAAATCCCCGTTCAAAAAGAGAGAAGAAGAAGCTTCATTTGTCTCGAACCGAGGCCCTTCTTTCCGACCTAGATTCCAACAATTTCCCACCTGCTCACCCCGTTATCCATACTAACCACGCCTTCAACCTGTTTACCATACCACTATTAACCACCCTCGACCTCGACCGAATTACCCAAACACACCTACAACACCATTTCATATTCCTCCACTTAATTTTCAAACTAGATCTCGCCCTTCTTCAACTACCAATGATACCCGAAACCCAACCCGATTTAGAACTTTTACCAATCTAGGTCGACCCCTTGATCAATTATATGAACAGCTCAAAGTCGCAGGAAAAATTGGTACAATACCTCCTAAAGTCTATACTAAAGGAGTTCCCCCTGGTTATGATCCCCAATCTTTTTCTGCTTATCATTCTGGAGTTCCTGGACATTCTACTGTCAATTGTTGAGTACTTAAACATAAAATCCAAGACATGATTAAGGCCGGAGACATAATTTTGAGAAGGAGAAATGAACAAGGACCAAGTGTTAGCGAAAACCCTTTTCCTGCGCACAAAGATACTATAGGGGCCATTATCACTGATGAGGAGTTTGAACAGCCTGCCAAATACATTGTGGGGGAGAATGAAGTAATCAAAATAGTCCAGAGGCCTTTTGTGCTCGACATAGCCATCTAAAACTGGATTGCAAATCACATTCCCTCCTGAAAGGAATTTTGGTAAATCTAGGGGATTGCCTTTGGTTGTGAACTAAAAGAAATCATTCGCATTGCTCATCTTTTGCATTTCTGTTTTGTAAATAGTTTTGACTCAAATGTCTTTTTTAATACAAATCTCATGATAAATAACGTATTATGACGTTTTGTCCTTCATTTGAAATTCAATAAACTGTACAGTTTATATATATTGTGTTACTTACTCATTCTTTTCAGATGGCCAAAAGTAAAATACATTGACCCTTTGGATATCACCGTGTCGGAATTTGATGACGGCAATTTCGATATCTCTCATGAGTTTTGGAATTGAAAATTCAAGATGAGAGCAATAACAAGGAAGAATTTGAGTCTTTGTTAAAGAATCTTGAACAGTATGAAGAGAAATCCAAATCAAACTCAGAAGAAGCAGAAATCATCAATATTGGCACTCGAGTCAACGTCAAGGAAATAAAATTAGCATTCATTTGAATGAGACGCAGAAAAAATGGTACAATAAGAAAGGCAAACCATGACGACTCATAGAAGGAGATAAAGTCTTGAAATGAATTTTGTCAATACAAGAAAAGGGTAAGGGCAAGTTTGTACTCAATTGGCGAGGCCCTTTTATCGTCAAAAAGGTATTGCCTGGTGGATCATTCGTTCGCACAAAAAATGAATGGACAAATTTTTTCCTCAGCCGATCAATTAGGATATGTGTAAGAAATTCTTTATCTGATAAATGAAAGTTTCTTTTTAGGGTTAATGCGAAAAATGGAATGAAAGTCAGGCCATCTTCCTTTTCCATTGAGACATTTTATCCCTAGTTATCCCTTTTGAACCCTCAGAATGATCATTTCGTTTGGCAGCCCCTGAGAATCGCAAACCCCACACTGGGGCAAATTTAGTTTTGAAAAAAAAAAGAAGAGAAGAGTGATACGAACTCGACCCAGCAAGAACCTGTCTTGAAGAACCGAATTGATCAGGCAGCGGAAGGATCTATCTTGACCAGGTTATGAAACAATAACTACCTTGCTAGACCTAAAGAGAACCTGTCTCTAGAAACCTAGTGGATTGGTTATTGGCTTGAAAGAACAAGATGATGTGATCATCTTGTCTTGAACACCACAAGTATCCAAGCTAAATACTTGATACTGTTCAAGAAGAAACTCAAGTTCCATCAAGGAACTCCATAAAAGGAGACAACTCTCTTTTTATTAATTCATCTTCAATATCCTCCTGAATAGTTAAATAAAGTTGGCTATTTATAGCCTTACAAGACTCAAAACCCTAATCTAAATTGGAAATAATACAAGCTTCTTTATTTGACTTGACACAACTTCCTAAATAAATTTGGAAGCAATTAACTACTTTCCTAAAACTCTAATTCAATTAGAATAGGAAACTAACTGACTCAATTGGCTTAACTATGGTCAACATGACCTTAGCCTTTATTTCCCTTAATAACTCAAGACTAACTAACAAGTATTGTTGGAAACTTACTTAAATAAATAATAAGAAATAAACATGACAAATCTTCAATGATTTTTGAACCCGATTGCACCATCAACCATCAATTGAATTTCCTTGAATTTCAAGGGAATCCAAATCTTCATGTTCTCATTATTCCCCTCCTCTTGAAAGATGATTTGTCCTCAAATCGAGTGTTTGCTTACAAAAGAGAAACTCGGAAAATGTCTTGATAAATGCAATCCAAGAACCATGCCACCAACTCAACTTGATTATGAATACTAACCATTGCACATGCTCTATTTGTCAAGAATATCTTCACCCAATTGTACTTGATCAGGTTATGAAACAATAACTACCTTGCTAGACCTAAAGAGAACCTGGCTCTGATACCAACTGATGTGAAATCCCGATCTAGACAACCAAATTCGGTTGCCAATTCAACTGATGTGATACTCACTTGACGCGATCTAGACAACGAATCACCAACGGTTTAGCAGCGGATGAACAGTACTGCTACAGGCGTGAACAGTACTCAGTGAACAGTTCCTTTTTTTTTTTTTTTTTTTTTGCTTTTGACGACTCGATACAAGGTTACGATTTCACTTGGAAGAAATTCAAAGGGAGTTAAACCCTTGAAAAACCTGTTTTCAAGAACGTAATCACACCAAAAAATTTCAACCTCGATCAATCACAGGGTAGGTTCGACTCAAGTGAAAAAATCAAGAAAACAAGAATCAAATTTTTTTTTGTTTCTTTTAAATCAAAAGGCGGCTAGGGTTTTGTTAGAAAAATAAATAGAAAAAAAGAAAACAAAAGGATATTAACCTGAATCAAGAGCCGAAACTCTGATACCAGATGATACGAACTCGACCCAGCAAGAACCTGTCTTGAAGAACCGAATTGATCAGGCAACGGAAGGATCTATCTTGACCAGGTTATGAAACAATAACTACCTTGCTAGACCTAAAGAGAACCTGTCTCTAGAAACCTAGTGGATTGGTTGTTGGCTTGAAAGAACAAGATGATGTGATCATCTTGCCTTGAACACCACAAGTATCCAAGCTAAATACTTGATACTGTTCAAGAAGAAACTCAAGTTCCATCAAGGAACTCCATAAAAGGAGACAACTCTCTTTTTATTAATTCATCTTCAATATCCTCCTGAATAGTTAAATAAAGTTGGCTATTTATAGCCTTACAAGATTCAAAACCCTAATCTAAATTGGAAACAATACAAGCTTCTTTATTTGACTTGACACAACTTCCTAAATAAATTTGGAAGCAATTAACTACTTTCCTAAAACTCTAATTCAATTAGAATAGGAAACTAACTGACTCAATTGGCTTAACTATGGTCAACATGACCTTAGCCTTTATTTCCCTTAATAACTCAAGACTAACTAACAAGTATTGTTGGAAACTTACTTAAATAAATAATAAGAAATAAACATGACAAATCTTCAATGATTTTTGAACCCGATTGCACCATCAACTATCAATTGAATTTCCTTGAATTTCAAGGGAATCCAAATCTTCATGTTCTGATTAAAGAGAGAGAGAGAGAAAAACCCCACACTGGGGCAAATTCAATTTTTTTGGAGGAAAGCCGAAAGAAAAGGAAATGAACAAAACCTCAGTTAAAAAATAAATTGGGACAAATTGTGAACATTTTAAAAGATGAATGGAATGACAGAAGAAAAAGGGAAATTGAAAGAGAAGAGACCCTCAGTTGAGAATAAACCGGGGCAATTTTAGTTAATATAAAGATGCAATCTCAGGTGATTTGAACACTTATAAAATTTGTTTTCAAGTCTTAACCTTTTTTTAGCACCTCGCCTGACCACATTACAAAAAACTGAAAGTCCTGACTTCCGTTCTTTGTATTACCTCTTTTAAAGAAATTTTTTAATCACATGGCAAATGATGTCAATACATCTTCACCCATTTTGCAAAGGAATGATTGTCACACTGATGCCATCATTTTCTTAAAACACATTTCTGAGATTGATAAAGGCTGTTGAGAGGATCGGTTCATTAGTGAAAATCTGAAAGGGTACCTTTGAAAGAAAAAAGAAAGAAAAAGTGAAAAAAGAAAGAAAAATGAAAAATGACAAGAAAAAAATAAAAAGGTGGGGGTAATCTTAATAAAAACCCGAAAGGGCGCTAAGGTAGGGTTTTATAAGAAAAGGTGAGCTCGGAATGGAATAGTTGGGGACTCAATTCATTGGAATTTCTATTCACCTGTGGTTCGGTTGCCAACATTGAATTCCGGAAGGACGATATCCAAAGGACCAAGTGTAGTAATTTGTTTGAAATCAAAGTGTTTGGTTTATCCAACATAAACTGTTGAGTTTACTGGTTCATTTCTCTAAATTCAATTTTCTTTCAAATAAAAATAAGTGCTTGTTTGCATGTTACTAAAATTTTCGTCATTGACTGTGTAAATAAAATATTCTTGCATATGTGTCATAGTTTCATCTATCTTTTCGGGTCTATCAAAAGGCAATCCATGTGATTTATTGAAATTGCCTAGATACCAAGTGTCTTGTTGGCATTAGAAGTTAAAAAGGTGTGATTTGCAGAGCGAAGTTGAGTTTTTGCTACATCGGAAACTTATCAAATGGCAACTCCTATGATTGACTAGATACCAAGGGTCTTGTTAATATTGGAAGTAGAGGAAACTTGACACAGTTCGCAAAGTAGAGTTAAATTAATACTACATCGGGGGAAGAATGCCCAAATACTCATATTTACACACTTCTTGAAGGCAGGATTGATCGGATGGTGGTGGCACTGTTTGACATTCTAATTATTGCTGTTTTGCAGGTTCAAATGACAAAAACACCACACTGGGGCAATTAATTTTTCTAAGTAAAGATAGTTTCCTTCATTAGAATTTTCAAAATTTTACACAAAGACATTTTGCAAAAGTCTTTTCATATA